ATGGGGTAAACATGAATATAATATAGAAATATATAAAATTATAATTTCTCTTACTTCTCCATTTACAGACAGGCCCAGTTCCAGAATCAAATCACTGAGGGTGCTTCTGAAATTAGTGAGGGTGCTCTAGCCTTAATTTACATCTACTTTGACATATTTTTGCTGCATTTATATGCAGATGTCACTCCCAAAACTTTGCAGTTTGTGAGCGGTTATTTCGCCCCGTTTGTTATCTCAGGTCTGGGACATGGGGGGTTCCACGATTCTGTCAATAGTGTTTCAGAGGGATTAGTTCCATCCTATTCTAAGCACACCCTGGTGCAGCCTCTTCTAATGGTCTGGACCCATCAGTCCTGAATAATTACAGACCAATCTCAAAATTGCTGTCTTTAGCTAAAATATTGGAGAAGGTCATGCTTAATCAACTTTAAACATTTTTAAAATGTATGATACATTTCTATCTGGTTTTAGATCTCAGCATAGCACAGAAACTGCTCTTCTCAAAGTGACTAATGACTTGTTGTTGTCGGTAGACACTGGGAACTGTGCTGTTTTGGTGCTTCGTGATCTTAGTGCAGCATTCGATACTGTGGATCATGGGATTCTTCTTGACCGTCTGAGTCAGTGGGGTGGTATCAGGAGGCAGGCACTAAAGTGGTTCTCATAATATTTGCAAGAGAGAACCTTTGCAGTGCAATTAGGGAGCTCTATTTCCTCCTCTCAGCCTATCGCTTCTGGGGTTCCTCAGGGTTCCTGTCTTGGCCCTGTCTTGTTTTCTTTATATATGCTCCCACTGGGATTAATCTCTAAAAAAATACAATGTGGCATATTATTGTTATGCCTACAATACCCAGCTGTGTCTACCGTTGAAACTTAATGACTCCAAACTTGCATCTCTGTTTGATTGCTTGGATGAAATAAAGGTGTGGATGGCATCGCGTTTCCTGCAGCTTAATGAGTCAAAATCTGAAGTGGTGATCTTTGGTCCATTGAAGTTAGCCAAACAGCTTTCACTACATCTTGGGCCATTAGCCCCCAATCTTAACATTCAGGTGAGGAACCTAGGTGTGATTTTTGACTCTGAGCTGAAATTTGATAAACAAATTAAAGCTGTGGTAAAATGTAGCTTTTTCAATTGAGGGGCATTGCCAAATTGCAAAGTTTTTTTATCTTTTAAAGATATGGACACCGTGATTCATGAGTTATTTCATCCAGACTGGATTATTGTAATTCTTTATATCTGGGGATATCTAAGATCTTGCTTTCACGGATACAGTTAAAGGGGGGGGGGGGGGATAAAGAAAAAAAGAATGGTTGTTGTATTTTAAATGCTACTGTATGTTGAAAGCCAAAATTGAAATTAGAACCATACACACAAAATGCTGCCTGTAAAAGTTAAATATTGACCTCTTTTCAGATTTTTAGTTATGACTTTTTGCACCTTTAATAAACATTTCCAAAATGCACAAATTAATATAGAAAAATGCTGATTTTACAAGTTTTCTTTGGCCAAATTAACACGGGGTTAGTTGTAACACACATGGTTTAAACATTTCCACACATGCTAGCATGACAAAACTAGTTGCCATATCAAAACTATATAGAGGAAAATGTACCAAAAATATTTTGAAGAACAGTATCGAACATTTATTTAACCATAGCAAAAGTACATTGCTGACTGAAGTAAATTTCCCATCAAAATTTTTTGTGTTTATTTAAACTGAGACAAATCTGCTATTATTTTAATCTCCAATCTGTTATTTAGCAGTCTCTTTAAACGGCTTAGAAGAAACTAAGCCGTTATAAATTCCAGTTGCACAGATTGGGAACGTTGTAACACTGCGTTTGTGTGCCCTGCTATTATTAAACTATTAACTATGCTACTGTAATAAACAATTATGAGGACGTTGAAGATCTCAATGAGCATTTTTATTACAGCATAGCAGTGACAGAGTGCATGTTGTACCTTTGGGTCATCAGAGTCAGAATGAACCCCAAACATCCTAAACTCAAACCTTTTATACACTTACTTTTTTTAGTTTACTGCCCTTAATGTAAATGAAGTTGCTCCTGTCATAACATCTGTGGTCTGTATGTTAAATTATTAGTACAGAAATTATTTCAAGAAATAAAGCATTTTTGCTTGTCTGTCTCGTGTTCCTTGTCAAACTCCAAAATTAATTAAAACATTTTTTAAATGTCATTATTTTATTTTTATTATAAATTTTTTTTTTTTCATTAAATCAGATAACATTTTAAGCTGTGTTACAACGTGTCCCTCCGATGTTATAGTGTGCCCCACCTATGGGGCATCTTGTCACATTTCACTTCTATTCATTTGGGGTAAATAAAGAAAAAAGTTTACACTGTAATTATGAATAACACACATATTTGTACTAGACGAGTATGAAATTAATGTTGAAAAACAAAATTACACTCTGAACTCGATGTGGATTTACACAAACTGAGAAAGTCAAAAAAGTGCATCCTACATCGGGTTAGAGCGCTACTCACAAGGCTTTAATATATGGGGTAAACATGAATATAATATAGAAATATATAAAATTATAATTTCTCTTACTTCTCCATTTACAGACAGGCCCAGTTCCAGAATCAAATCACTGAGGGTGCTTCTGAAATTAGTGAGGGTGCTCTAGCCTTAATTTACATCTACTTTGACATATTTTTGCTGCATTTATATGCAGATGTCACTCCCAAAACTTTGCAGTTTGTGAGCGGTTATTTCGCCCCGTTTGTTATCTCAGGTCTGGGACATGGGGGGTTCCACGATTCTGTCAATAGTGTTTCAGAGGGATTAGTTCCATCCTATTCTAAGCACACCCTGGTGCAGCCTCTTCTAATGGTCTGGACCCATCAGTCCTGAATAATTACAGACCAATCTCAAAATTGCTGTCTTTAGCTAAAATATTGGAGAAGGTCATGCTTAATCAACTTTAAACATTTTTAAAATGTATGATACATTTCTATCTGGTTTTAGATCTCAGCATAGCACAGAAACTGCTCTTCTCAAAGTGACTAATGACTTGTTGTTGTCGGTAGACACTGGGAACTGTGCTGTTTTGGTGCTTCGTGATCTTAGTGCAGCATTCGATACTGTGGATCATGGGATTCTTCTTGACCGTCTGAGTCAGTGGGGTGGTATCAGGAGGCAGGCACTAAAGTGGTTCTCATAATATTTGCAAGAGAGAACCTTTGCAGTGCAATTAGGGAGCTCTATTTCCTCCTCTCAGCCTATCGCTTCTGGGGTTCCTCAGGGTTCCTGTCTTGGCCCTGTCTTGTTTTCTTTATATATGCTCCCACTGGGATTAATCTCTAAAAAAATACAATGTGGCATATTATTGTTATGCCTACAATACCCAGCTGTGTCTACCGTTGAAACTTAATGACTCCAAACTTGCATCTCTGTTTGATTGCTTGGATGAAATAAAGGTGTGGATGGCATCGCGTTTCCTGCAGCTTAATGAGTCAAAATCTGAAGTGGTGATCTTTGGTCCATTGAAGTTAGCCAAACAGCTTTCACTACATCTTGGGCCATTAGCCCCCAATCTTAACATTCAGGTGAGGAACCTAGGTGTGATTTTTGACTCTGAGCTGAAATTTGATAAACAAATTAAAGCTGTGGTAAAATGTAGCTTTTTCAATTGAGGGGCATTGCCAAATTGCAAAGTTTTTTTATCTTTTAAAGATATGGACACCGTGATTCATGAGTTATTTCATCCAGACTGGATTATTGTAATTCTTTATATCTGGGGATATCTAAGATCTTGCTTTCACGGATACAGTTGGTGCAAAATGCAGTGTGCAGATTGTTGACTGGCACAAATAAATGCTCCAGTATCTCTCCAGTACTGGCTTCCTATTGATTTTAGAGATCAATATAAGGTTTTGTTAAAGGTATATCTCCAGTCTGTTACAGCATCATCATCCTGCTAGACATTTAAGATCATCTCAGATTTTCCTCTTAAATGTCCCAAAATCACGGTTGAAAAGGAGATTGTGTCTTCAGTGGCTGTGCCATGCCTATGGACTACTTTAAATTGATGTTGAAGACGCACCTCTACTCTGTTGCAATTAATCGTCCTTAAGTGCATGGAGACTGAAGAATGATGAGTTTTGTGTTTTAATGTATTTGTGTGTAGGTGTTTTGTAATTTTGTGAGAGTCAAGTCACCTTTCTTTATATAATAGCGCTTTACACAATACAGATTGTGTCAAAGCAGCTGTACAGTGTTATACAGGACAAACGTGTGCTGATAATGCAAAGGTGCAATAGAAAACAGTCAGTTTATCAGATAAAGTCAGTTTATTGTTGATTCAGTGTTGTCATCGTCCAGCTCATTTCAACTCTCTTCCAATAGTGTCTGTGCAGTCAAGTCAACAATGTTGCCAGAAATTGTAAAGCACTTTGGTCAACTTGTGTTGTTTTTAAATGTGCTATAGAAATAAATGTTGAATGACTGATTAATATTTTGTACTTATTAAATAAACTGGACCTCCAAACACACCTACAGCCGACATTACAGAACTGTTTAATAATCTACATACGGACTCAATGACCAGTTAAATGCTTGAATGATACGCTCTAAAAAAATGCTGGGTTAAAAAGGGACAAACCCAGCTATTGGGTTGTTTTGACCGCTGGGTCAAAACAACTCAATAGCTGGGTCAAAACAACCCAACCGCTGGGTCAAAACAGCCCAATAGCTGGGTTTGTCCCTTTTTAACCCAGCGCTGGGTTATATTTAACCCAGCATTTTTAGAGTGTAGTTAAAAATATTAAAACATTTTTGAGTATCTGTGATCAAAAAGTGTTCTTAATTGTATTGAAATGCATTGACCAGAGCTTGCCTGGCTTGTATCTTAGCATTTTATCACTCTTTATATATTGTTAATTATCAATAAGCTTAAAATTGATGTCTGTTGTGCTTCTACATTAAGGAGCAAATGTACAAAGGACTGGACAATGTTGAACCACACGCAAGTTACTGGAATCCATCATTTATTCGCATGTTTTTTTACACCACTTTCCCACTGCAGCTTTGTGCATACAACACATGAATAATGCACAGATATAATTCCTTCATTCACAACTTCATTAGAATTAATTATAAACTCAAGTCTGCTACAAAATACAGTGTCGAGATACATTATAAAATACTCTTTTACTCCCATTTATAAAGACAACACAAATAAATATTTCATAGAAAGAAAAATAGGTTATGTTTGTTAAATTAATTACAGAACACAAACATTCATTGGTGTCATTTGCCTGTATGTGAAACGAAACCACCAAAAAAAAAAACGTAGTGCAAGAATATTGTGTTACATTACGGTGTTTCAACCTATAAAAAAAATGACAGAAATGTGTTCAATATTGCTGTTAATTTTTTTTTTTCTGCCTCAAATTCTCTTTAGCCTTCCATCTTTATTCTTTTGTTACATATAACAATCCCAGGCCTTTTGCACCACATATACGCCTGTTCATTTCCTCATTTATTTCTGTGTGAAACCAAAGAGGCCCATCACGGTGCGGTTCAGTCCGTATACTTGGTGCCACATGATGTGAGAATGGCTCATCTGAGTTCTGATTCAGCCACATCTCTCCTCATAAGATTGTCTCAGAGCAGTTCTGCCTCATCGTCCTCATCCTCAGAGCCGGACGGACCCTGACGCACCTCCTCATACCACTTATTAGTGAGTGTCTTCATCTGGATCCGCCCATGCAGCAGGTCCTTAGAGAGGAAGGACGAATAACAGATCACGAACCCTATTTATTTATTTTCGTACAACTGGACTAATGTGTATGAAGGTTATGAGCAGTCTAACCTCTTGTGTAAGTCTACGGGTGAAGAAAGGGTTCAGATACTTGGCATCAAGCCACAGGAAGCCCTTCAGATCCTGCCTCTGAAAAATCTGAGCTTCATACTCCTCCTCGGTCAACTCCGACAAATGCTCAGATTCAATGGCGTTACCCTGAGAGAGAGAGAGAGAGATTGACTTTTAAACCCCTTTTAATTTACACCATTTTTCAAAACATTACAGAGCTAATACACAAAATCAAAATAATAAATAAATAAATAAACAAACAGAGCAATTTTACCAATTAAAAACCATATTTCCAAACTCACTCAGTGTCACTAAAGCATCTCTCACTGAAAGCAGAAAGTCATATACACCTAGGATGCCTCGGGGGTGAGTAAAACGCAGCCTAATTTCCATTTTTTGGTGAACTAACCCTTTAAAGATAATCTGAACATTGCTAGGTCGAGGTTTCTAACAGTGACAGTTCTTCGTAGCGGGCTGTTATGACAACAGCAACTTCTCTGATTGGATCCCGCTTCAGGATTAAAATGTTTCCTTATTATTATTATTTTACCAACGTAGAAATCATAACAGCAGATTTGACAAAATAATATAAATGTATGCATTATTGCAAAAGTAATAACTTTCTGTGTGGAGTGTGCGCAGTTGCAGTTTATTGCATCAGTTTTCGCGCGTCTTTTTGATTAGCTACCCACCCACGTACGCAATAAAAACTACAGGCAAGACATCTGTTTTTTTATATTTGAATCTGTTCACTGTGAATTTGATAAAGTGCATGATGCACTATTAATAAGGTCTAAATCGTGTTGTCGCTGTATGGATGGCCACAGGTTTTCGAGAAACGCCGCCACTGGTCTGGGCCCTCGTATTTCGCCCACTTTTTGTGTTGTTTTTTATTTTATAAATAAATGTCACACCTGACAAACTGTGAATGAGCATATACGAAACTTCTGTAAATCTGGTGGATTTTTCAGAAAGGTCCCTTTTACATGCAAATTACTCTCATAAATTTATGAGTAAATTCAATCAATAAGACCCATTGCCTTTAAATCAAGACGCTCCTCTTTTGAAAAGAAAATGATAAAGATAACCGCTCTCTCTCACCATTTTCTCCGTTTTGCTCAAGTTGATGTCTTTCTTGTTCTTGCGCCGTGATTGGCTCTCCTCGATGTCCATGATGCGGATGAGGGGCATGGTCCCGCCCCCCAGCAGCAGGATGGTGAAGAGCACGATGACGATGGTGGTGGTGCCGATCAGCTGCCGCTTCTCTATGGGCTCCAGACCCAGATGAAGGCTGAGCGCGTAGGGGATCGCCCCCCGCAGACCTGAGCACATCACGTGTGCTCCGAGTCAATCACACATGCGTTTTATGACTCGACGGAAAATCAGTATTTCGAAAAATGTACACATTACTATAAAACAATTGACATGCACTACTAAAATGTAATTTAAAATGGTGAAGAAGGAATAAGTGACTAGATGCTGTGTGTGAATATGATATCGGATAAAGTAAATATTTGAAGCATAAAAACGTGAAAGCATAAGAATTAACTCACTTCAAGCTTTCAAACCACACGGAAACTTAAGTTCATCTTACCACTGAACCACATGACGAACATCATTTTGGGGTTGATTTTATGATCTCTGAAGAAGTTGAGCAGAAAGGAGAGGGGGAAGATATTCACAGCCCGACCGACGAGAACCAGAACCTGTGACAGGAGAACACTTCATGAGAAACCCAAACGACTGCATTCAGAATTATTAAACTGATAAACATTATATCCATCATCAACTTGTCTTGTTTATTATAAGTGACATCAGACAGCATTCCAAAGAGCCAGTGACGAATCACACGTTCAGCAAGCATTCATGTTTTATCAGATACTGAAGAGCAGAAAGAGTAATAATGCTCTGGAGCGAGACAATCGGGTGAAAACAAGCACTTCGGCGACACGTACTATACACCAGATGACAAACGACAGCTCGAACTTATGAGGGAAACTGAAGATAGACAAGCCCAGGAACGCAAACACACATGTTTCTGTGGAATCCAAATAGAAAAGAGAAGAGTTAGGTTCATGTTAACAGCAGATCTCCTCTGTGGAGCAGTGGGTCGTGTGAGGTACTCACCGCACATGAAGGCCACGGTTCGAAGCGTCTGCTGCATGAGAATCTGAGTGACTGGCGATAAGTTATGATGAGTATAATGAGACATGACAATACCGGAGAACAGAATGGCCATGATACCTACAGACAGAAAGAAATCAATTCTGATGAATTAACCCTGAAACTGATAAAACAGTATTAAACTCATCAAGATGTGTTTTTAACTCACCGGAGAGTTTGATGCCCTCGGCGAGACCATACGGCAGGTATGCAAATATAATCATCATCCCAAACTCCAGAGACGGAGTCTTCCTCAGGTCGAAGTGTTTCAGAACCTGCGTGCTCTCATTCAGAAACATAATCTCACAGGACGTCTTAAAATAAACAACTATGTGCAAAAGATATGAAAGTAAACATTGAAAAGGTAACATACACTACCGGTCAAAAGTTTGGGATCAGTAAGACTTGTAATGTTTTTTAAAGAAGTCTCTTCTGCTCATCAAGGCTGCATTGATTTGATCAAAAATACAGAAAAAAATCTTGCAAAATGTTATTACAATATAAAAGAATGGTTTCTATTTTAATATCCTTTAAAATGTCTTTTATTTCTGTGATGCGCAGCTGAATTTCCATCATCATTACTCCAGTCTTCAGTGTCACGTGATCTTCAGAAATCAGTATAATATTCTGATTTATTATTAGCATTATCAACAGTTGTGCTGCCAAATATTTTTTTTGGAAACTGCGATAGTTTTCTCAGGATTCTTTGATGAATAAAAAGTTAAAAAGAACAGCATTTATTCAAAATAGAAATCTTTGCTATCACTTCTTATCAATTTAACACATCCTCGCTGAATAAAAGTTTTAATTTCTTTCAAAAAAAGAAATAATAAATATTTACTGACCCCAAACTTTTGAACGGTAGTGTATATTGTTAGAAAAGATTTATATTTTAAATAAATGCTCTTCTTTTTAACTTTTTATTCACCTAAATAAAGTATCACAGCTTCCAAAAAATTATGAAGCAGCAACAGTTTCCAGCTCTGATAATAAATCAGCATATTATACTGATTTCTGAAGATCATGTGACACTGAAGACTGGAGGAATGATGCTGAAAATACAGCTGCGCATCACAGGAATAAATTATATTTTAATGTATATCAAAATAGAAAAACTTTATTTTACATCATAATAATATTTCACAATATTACATTTTTTCCCTGTATTTTTTATCAAATAAATGCAGCCTTGATGAGCAGAAGAAGAAACTCCTGTAAAAAACATTAAAAATCGTTCTGATCCCAAACTTTTGACCGGTAGTGTATATTCACTATTATTAGCATGCATATTACTAGCATATTGGCTGTTTATTAGTACTTATAAAGCACATATTAATCCCTTAATGATTATGTAATTAATGATGCAACATAAATAATTGTATTAATAATAAATGTATTAATAATAAATGTATTAATAAAACTAAAACCACTAAACCAAAAAAATCATTAAAAACATTAAAACACACAAAATCATAAGGATACAATAGCAGAGATGAGACCAGTGAGTGTGCCCAAAGCGGCCGACCCAAAGAACATCTTCAGGAAGTAGCCGAGTGCCTGCATGAAGGTTTCCCAGCCTGTAGAGACATCTGAGCCTGCAAAGCCCTCCGCTGTACTGAAATACACACATCGACCACAGCTCACATCTGCTAACACGATAAAGACTGACAATTAAAGCAGAATAGGACTGAATTGTTCAAAATTTTAAATCACGGCCTGCACGTCCTGTACACAATATTTCCTTGGTACTGGAACAATTTACAATTAGAGTTTTGTAAATATTTTAAATACACAAAATTGAATGCTGTCATGTCAAATGATTAACTGAATTATGTGCATCTTGTTTGTACCATCCTCTGATTATTTATTTATCTAACAGACCCACCGATCGTCCTGACCTTTAACAAACAGCTTGCATTTGGTCAACAGGGGGCAGTAGAGTCACAATACATCTCTTATCTACTGTACATACAGTACATGGGCGCCAACATATGTCAAACACTGGAGTGTCAATTTAACAGCTTCCAACTTGAACAATACATACTGCAAAAATTCAGGGCTTGAAGAATAAAGAGATTCAGCGACTGAGACTCTTAAAACAAACGGTCGAATGTTGGCAGCCTGAGCATCCGATATCAAATGAACTGGCAATATTGAACAAATTACAGCACAGAATGATAATAAAACCACAAGGATGAGCAGCCGGTAAGATTTTTTAAATTAAATAATCCACTCATCTATATTTTCTTTAATGTTTGATAACTAACTTGATATTATCAGCTAGGCTTATGACAGTGTTTCTCAACCAGGGGTCCGTGGACCCCTAGTGGTCCTTGACATAAGGCCAGGGGGTCTGTATAAAGTATGAATTTTTGTATAAATTTTGTATATTTTGTCATGACATGTTCCCATGAACAAAAAATCCAATATAGCTGATGATATGGCCAAATACTGGACGAGTCAGCTAACTTGAATTATACTTGACTGCATTTGGTCCTCACAAAGACACAAATGATACATAGATGAGTCAATGTTGTTCTGGGGGTCCTTGAGGATGGTTCTGAATTGGACTGGGGTCCGGTACGCCAAAAGGTTGAGATTCACTGGCTTATGATGTAGATCAATGCATTGGAAATCTCCTCCTACTTTAAAAGGATAGTTCACCTAAAGATGAAAATTCGGTCATCATTTACTCACCCTCAACTTGTTCGGTTTCTTTCTTCTGATGAACAAAAAAAGAAGATATTTTGAAGAATACGGGAAACCAAACAATCGCCTTTAGCCATTGACTTCCATGGTATTTTTTTCCCATTCTATGCAAGTCAATGGCTACCATCATGAATAAATCATGAGAAAATGTTCATTCTTGGGTGAACCATCCCTTTATATCATGACAAGACAAATGACCCAGAGCGTCCTATAGATAGCAAAATGTGATAATAGAATTTAATTCACATATATATGATTATGAATTAGTGCTTATGGAAGAATTTGTGTTGACTGTTGTATTTGGAAGAATGTATTATTGTGCGGAGACAACCATTTTAGCAACAACGCTATATATCAGCTATATATCTATACGATTTGTACTAGCTGATTATAAAGATCAACACATATCTTATCGTGCAGGACAGTTTGGCCCACGGGTGTAAAACTACACCCAGAGAGGAATTACTGCTTTCTAGGAAACACACAAACAGCAGCTCTGCAGACTCATCAATAAAGAATGAGATCATTTTACCAGACAACTCTCAGGAGACAGTCATTGTACACACTCACAATGACCACGGGAAACAGCCAGCGTACACACTGGAGCTGAGCTGAGAGGAGACGAGACGAGAGACATGAGAGGACAAGAGAAGACAGAGATGAGAAGAGACCAAACGAGAGACAAGATGAGATGAGGAAGGGGAAAGAGACTAGATGAGGAAAGACAAGAGACAAGGGACAAGATGAGACAGAAGACGAGAAGACAAAGTATGAGATGAGACGAGACAGAATAGAAGACATTTACGAGGCAAAAGAGACTCGATGAGAGAGACAAGAGATGAGAAGCAACTAGAGAACTAGAAATGTCACAAAGAGACTACAAGAGAAAGACAAGAGACGAAGAAGAGACGAGAAGAGAGAATAAACAAAAAGAAAGACAAAGAGACAAAAAGAGAAAAGAGATGACTTGAAAAGTGGAGACAAGCTGAGATGAGACCAAATGAAATCAGACACAAGAGATGAGAGTAAAGATGATGAGTGAGCAAACGAGACATGAGACGAGACGAGAGAGAAAAATAAAAAGAGATGTAGCTATATGAAATGAGACAAGACAGAAAGGAGACAAGACGAGACAGATGGAGACTGCAAAGGTCAAACATAAGAAGACATGAAACAAGACTACATTGGAAGAGAAACCAGATCATTTGAAATGAGAAGATACAAGATAAGAGACAAGATGAGACAAAAGACAAGAAAATAAGAGACTTGATGCGAAGAGACGAGAGACACAATAAAAAACATTAATGGAAAGAGATGAGAAACATGACAAGGCAAAAGAGACTAGCTGAGAAGTGACCAGAGAACTAGAAACGTCACAAACAGACTTCAAGAGGAAGACGCGAGACAAGACTGGAATGGAAGAGACGAGAAGAGAGAATAAACAAAAAGAGAAAAGAGATGATTTGAAAAGTGAAGAGAGACAAGACCAAATCAAATCAGAGACCTGAGATGAGAGTAGAGATGATGAGTGAGCAAACGAGACGTGACGAGAGAAAAATAAAAAGAGATGTAGCTATATGAAATGAGACAAGACCGAAAGGAGACAAGAAGAGACAGGTGGAGACTGCAAAGGTCAAGAACACATGACATAGCCACTGCAAAGCCACACTGAGCGACTAAAGATACATGAGCGTCAGTATGTGCTACAACAGACCACATGGCTCACCCTTCCTGTTAAACTTGTTTGTAACATGACTTCGTCCAGATACATGAAGCTGTCATGTTGTCACATTCATACCGAGAACACCTGAGTCAAGTCTACGAAAACACAGGAAACATGAGGGCCAAATGGCCCATCGACAAATGCTCTGTAAAACATTTAAGAACATTACGTCCCAGTACGTAAGGCCAAGAACTCCTCCCACATTACCTCTCCCTATGAGCTCAGCGGTTAATGATGAGGTTTTGATATTGCATTAGAATTAGCAGTTTCTACATAAACACACACCGACAGCTGGATGCAATCGTGTTGCTACAACAAAACCAGCATGATGGCATGCATTGCCTCGTGGACTGATATTAATCATGTATGTGAAACTACACATGCACAAAAATAAAAAAAAGTCATTTCAAACAGCGCTTAATGGGAGATATAATATAGTATTATTAATTAGAATATGTATACACTATATATATATGTAGTGTATAAATGCACACATACGTATGAGCTGGATATAAAGATAGAAAAGCTCATGTTAAATATGGATCTGATTTAGTGGTGCTCAGCAAATTCAGGATTGGCCCGGCCGCCCTGATCCAAATCCACAGTCATAATCTCCCAGTTCCTTAGTCCTTGTGAAAATCTGTATATCAAGTGCTGTAAAACATCTAAGGCTGCCAAGTGAAGCACGTCAGTGAATGTCACAGTTTCGCATCCTGCTCTGAAACCGAAAGATTTATGCATTCAGTTCGATTGGTAATCGAATGGAATTGCAGCTGTTATTTTGGTCGCACATGCACACCACTTATGTGCACCCCTGGTAATGGAAAAAAATCTGATTCTTATTGATGTTAAGTGACACATTAATAATATACAGTATGCTATTAAATGTTGCAATTTCTTGCTAATTAAACATTTTTGAGCTATGCATTAGAAAAAAATAAAAATGCAAACATACGGGCGAATAACACGATCAAGCCTATGTTTTAGAAAAAAACTACCCTGCAGAATAAGAACATTATAAAAATTAACAAAAGTTGATGGCTTGAGGGCAACCAATTCAAATACAAAATAGACATTATTCGCAAATGCTTTGCTACCCTATTAAACAATTAATTGTTTTTATTTAATTAGTGTTTCCTACAAATGTCTGTAACATGTAGAACTTGTAAGAGCGCATGGCTAGAGGCTATTAAGATTATTAAAAAAACCTTTAAGATTCTTTCTTTCTATGACTTTTTCATGGAGAAAATTAAAATTCTTTAATTTCCCTGACTGTCAGTACAGAGAAGTACTTCAAAACAGTGTCTACAAACCTCTTTTCAACCAGTCTGCATTTGAATTGACAACGTTTTGAGGTAATCTGAGGTTTTGTTTTTCTGAGGACATTATACCACCCATGGCCAATAATAGTAGTTTACATCTCCTGGTTCGAGACCAGCAGGTTTTAGAAGCTGGTGCTATCAAGTGCTGTAAAACATCTAAGGCTGCCAAGTGAAGCACGTCAGTGAATGTCACAGTTTCGCATCCTGCTCTGAAACCGAAAGATTTATGCATTCAGTTCGATTGGTAATCGAATGGAATTGCAGCTGTTATTTTGGTCGCACATGCACACCACTTATGTGCACCCCTGGTAATGGAAAAAAATCTGATTCTTATTGATGTTAAGTGACACATTAATAATATACAGTATGCTATTAAATGTTGCAATTTCTTGCTAATTAAACATTTTTGAGCTATGCATTAGAAAAAAATAAAAATGCAAACATACGGCGAATAACACGATCAAGCCTATGTTTTAGAAAAAAACTACCCTGCAGAATAAGAACATTATATAAAATTATATACAAAATAGACATTATTCGCAAATGGTTTGCTACCCTATTAAACGATTAATTGTTTTTATTTAATTAGTGTTTCCTACAAATGTCTGTAACATGTAGAACTTGTAAGAGCGCATGGCTAGAGGCTATTAAGATTATTAAAAAAACCCTTTAAGATTCTTTCCGTCTATGACTTTTTCATGGAGAAAACTAAAATTCTTTAATTTCCCTGACTGTCAGTACAGAGAAGTACTTCAAAACAGTGTCTACAAACCTCTTTTCAACCAGTCTGCATTTGAATTGACAACGTTTTGAGGTAATCTGAGGTGTTGTTTTTCTGAGGACATTATACCACCCATGGCCAATAATAGTAGTTTATATCTCCTGGTTCGAGACCAGCAGGTTTTAGAAGCTGGTGTCGGTTTTCTGCCCACAGCTATTTTTCTTTCAGTGGAAATATGTAGAATGAGGATGAGATTGCATATAGGTTTCAGCACCAGGGGTTGTACAATCGTCTAAAAGACTTTCTGGAAGACAGAAGGAGAGTTCTGATGATTTAGTGAGGCGTACTTTGTTAATACGATGGACAGGCGGCGTTATGCAAATCTTCCCACATAGTGACTTAGACATGTGGGGGTGTGTTAGAACAAGCTGTTTTAGGAGGGCGTGGCAGACTCTGAACTTTTATAAAGAATAGCTCTTTGGATTTGAGACTTTAGTCTTTGCAACTTTACAGATCTTCTTTATGCACCAAGAGCTTGTAACACTCCAAAGAGAAAGGAAAAAATGAAATCGCATCATATGACCCCTTTAAGTAAAGATCATGTTTCATGAAGATATTTAGTAAATTTCCAACCGTAAATATATCAAAAATGTATTATCATTAGTAATATGCATTGCCAAGAACTTCATTTGGACAACTTTAAAGATGATTTTCTCAGTATTTTGATTTTTTTGCACCCTCAAATTCCAGATTTTCAAATCGTTGTACCAAATATTGTCCTATCCTAATAAACTATACATCAATGGAAAGCTTATTTATTCAGCTTTCAGATGATGTATAATTCTAAATGTCAAAAAATTGACCCTTATGACTGGTTTTGTGGTCCATTTTAGTTTCGTTATTTGTTCTTTCATTATTTTCACATTATAATTTTTAATTAAAACAAATTATTTTAAACTTTATATATAAAGATTATTTTCAGTATTTTCTTTATTCTCATGTACAGTAAGACACTCTGAATTACTTATTCTGAATGAAATGTGTTGTATAAAACACTTTCCCTGCCTATGTGTTTGTGAGCATGTGTGTACATACAGGGGTGTGAAAAGGTTTTTGCCCCCTTCCTGTTTTTTTAATTGTTTGCATATTTGTCACACTTAAAAGATTCAGATCATCAAACAAATTTTAATATTACACAAAGATAATGCAAGTAAATACAAAATGCAGTTTTTAAATGATTATTTCTTTTATTAAGGGAAAAAAGCTGTCCAAACCTCCCTAGCCCTACGTGAAAAAGTAATTGCCCCCTAAATCTAATAACTGGTTGTGCAACGCTTTGCAGCAACAACTGCAATCAAGTGTTTGTGATAACTGGCAATGAGTCTTTCACATCGCTGTGGAGGTGCAAAGCAGCACCAGATCATCACACTACCACCACTATGTTTGACTGTTGGTATGATGTTCTTTTTATGAAATGCTGTGTTGGTTTTACGCCAGATGTGTGCCAGATACACACCTTCCAAAAAGTTCAACTTTTGTCTCATCAGTCCACAGAATATTTGCCCAAAAGTCTTGGGGATAATCAAGATATTTTTTGGCAAATGAGAGACGAGCCTTTGTGTTCTTTTTGGTCAGCAGTGGCTTTTGCCTTGGAACTCTCCCATGGATGCCGTTTTTGCCCAGTCTCTTTCTTATTGTTGAATCATGAACACTGAGCTTAATTGAGGCAAGTGAGGCCTGCAGTTCTTTAGATGTTGTTCTGGGTTCTTTTATGACCTCTTGGATGAGTCGTCGTTGTGCTCTTGGGAGTAATTTTGGTTGGCCGGCAACTCCTGGGAAGGAGTTAAGGTTTCTCAATTTGTGGATAATGGCTCTGACCATGGTTCGCTGGAGTCCCAAAGCCTTAGAAATGGCTTTATAATCCTTTCCAGACTGATACATGTCAACTGTTTTGATTCTCATCTGTTCTTGAATTTCTTTAGATCGCGGCATGATGTGTTGCTCTTTAAGCATGCTTCACTTTGTCAGACAGGTTCTATTTAAGTGATTTCTTGATTCAACAGGTCTGGCAGTAATCAGGCCTGCTTGTGGCTAGTGAAATTTAACTCAGCTTTCTAAAATAATGTGGTTAATTGCAGTTCTTTCATGATTTAACAGGAGGGGGCAATTAATTTTTCACGTAGGGCCACGTAGGTTTGGACAGTTTTTTTCCCTTAATAAATGAAATAATCATTTAAAAATTGCATTTTGTATTTACTTGCATTATCTTTGTGTAATATTAACATTTGTTTGATGATCTGAATCTTTTAAGTGTGACAAATATGCAAACAATTTAAAAAACAGGAAGGGGGCAAAAACCTTTTCACACCACTGTAGATGCATGTGCATGTAAATACATACATTATACTTGAGCAGAATTGTTTCTGTGAAAATGATGCCAGGCACATAGACACACTTCATGCATGTAACCACCAGTGCACCACATTTCGTCATTTGCATGCTCTCATTCTTCAAGTTCCTGTGCAGAGAAGCCTTGCTGCGCCACATTCTCTTTCAGTTCCACAATGATCTAACACTTTTGGCAATCATTGAGGGGGAAAAAAGCTACTTTTTGGTTCATAACAGTTTCGAACAATTCATGGGACCAGTCTTCAGAACAGCCCGGGAATATTAGAGGAATTAGGATTTGTGTAGATGTTAAAGCACATGAACCCAAGGCTCTGCATGAGAGCTAAAGTTAGTGGCTGGTGGCTGCTAACCAAGAGCTCCAGCACGTCACAACGATCAGTGATAATGCAGCACTTCTTCTGCTCACAGTAAATTAGGAGTTTATTGAGGCAAAAGTCATAGTTAATGGTTTGTTAAAAGCGAGAAATTGACCTTAAAATAAAGTGTGACTGAAATCTTAAAAGCAATGCATATGAATCGAGCGGTTTATCCCAAGTCTTCTGCAGAGACACCATCACTTTATATGATGAACAAATATAATTTAGATTTGTATTCACATATAAACTTTGAACTCGCATTTGGATGCATGGTTTATTTTTATGATGTCTTCGTGAACTTTTTTGGAAGTTTTGGTATAATGGAATTTCAATGGAGGGATAGAAATCTTTCGGGTTTCATTAAAAATGCATTCCTTTGTGTTCTGAAAATGAACAAAAGCCTTGTGTGTTTGGAACACTTTTATTTTTGGGTTAACGGTCCCTTTAATGGAGGGGAATATTCACTCTTGGTGTGAGTAAGTCTTTTGTGGAATGTCTCATGTGAGCAGTATTAAAAGGAGCTGCACACGAAAAGCGCTTCAAATCAACCACTTAACAGGTTCGACTTCTGTTAGCATGCTGCCTCAGGAGCCTTTGTAGACAGCAGACAACGTATCGGCCGACTAGGGCTTGATTTCAGCCGACACCAAACATGGACATCACATGTACAACACACGGCAGTGTATATATTCATATATATAGAATGTCTTTTCAGGATGAAAAGACAAACATTTCAGGCGAAGGATAATCCACTTCTTACCTCTGAGACTGTGTTATGATCTATATGACCGTATTATTTTTATTGTGAGTATTAGGCTTATCATTATTGCTGATCACTGTTGTTGTGCTATGATATTGTAATATTTACCATTATATAATCAGAGGGATATAGAAAAGTTTATTAAAGTGTCACTCCATAATACAATAGCAAAATATGTATAGTATTTTTATGTTACATTAATCAGTGTCTAGCACACCTTCCGAAGGAAAGGATATGGATCAGAAGACATTGCAATTACTAAATGATATTTAGACAGACTTAAAGAAGTTCCAGATCTACACTTGTGCCCTTATTATTTCATTTATTTTGCCTTTAATATAAATAAGCATGTGCAAACAATATACTTGCTCTTGTGAAGTTATTTGGATGTTAATTACATTGTGCGAGCTGTCTCTTTAATACCGCGTGGTTTACATACATGTTGCTGCTGATTGGGCTGACATGTTTGACACACCCACCAAACAAGAGAAAACGCATCTCAAACCCCGTTGCACACCGTTGCACACCGTTTCCAGGAAACATGTGGTTCAAACCGGAAACCGTAGCAAAACGGTGCACACTGGTTTGAGCTTGAACTTGCCCCAGGACTGTCCCAACTCAGTCCTGGAGGGCCGGTGTCCTGCAGAATTAAGCTCCAACTTGCCTCAACACACCTGACTGGAAGTTTCTATGCCTAGTAAAGAGCTTGATTAGCTGGTTCAGGTGTGTTTAATTAGGATTAGAGCTAAACTCTGCAGGACACCGGCCCTCCAGGCCCGAGTTTGGACAGCCCCGTGTTAGACAGTGTTCACGGTAAAACACGGTACAGTTGCATCTGTACATTTATACCGTGTAGAGCACAGATAAAAACAGACAGAAGTCTTTGGCCATTGCATTATTTTTTTGAGAGTCTTACGCCATGAGGACTGCACTTTTCAGAAGGTGTGTATATAGAAAGTTAAAAATAATTGCACTTTTAAAAAAATTATGCATTCTGTTCTGTTCAGCTGTTACTGACGGTGCCCTAAGAAAAGCACCTGGCTGTGCTCAGATGAGCCACATTTACATACTGTCTTGCAAAATTACATATTTTCAAAACCGACTAGTTGGCTGCCAGAAAGACTAGTCGGTTTTTAAAATATGGAGATCTGTACATTATGTGCCGACTAGAAACACCTGCTCACGCCACATCTCTAGAAGCAGTGCTCTATAAAGAGTTGAAGAGCAGTTTAGAGGGAATGAAGCAGAGACACGCTCCAGTTGAGCTGTTCATCGAGAGGGTCTCTGGTTACTGAAACAGAGAACTGAGGGGCCCTCTTGACCTTTAGACTTCCTGAAACAAAAGGAAGCTCTGTACTCACAGAGGCCGGCATCACCTCACATCCCAGCCAAAAATGTTAATTAAGGCCCGAAACAGAGAGAGCGAGAGATGAAAAAGTGGAGAGAGGAAGAGAAAAGAGAGGCAGGCATGAGAGGAAAATGGGAGCTAGAGAAAGAAACAAAGACACTGGGATGTGGAGAGAATGAAACCGGAGACAGAAAGAGAGTGAAAAAAGAGAGGAAGGGAAGGGGGAGGCACCGGAGAGAAAGATGTACGGCACATGGAAAGATTTCCTCTGCTTGCAAAGCTAAAGTTCCAGCAAGTTTAGGAAAATCTCATTAAATCATGCGCAGGTTACATTGGAATGAATCTCATTACTGTCAAGATTGCTGTCTTTTTTTTTTTTTTTTTCTTAATTCTGGTTATTTTCCATGGTAATTCTCAATATCAATACGTATATCTTTGATCACTGAACTAATGTAACAAATGGCTGGACAACTTATTATTGTTATTTTTATTATTAAGAGATTCTGCCTTATTATCCCTAGTTTATATTTGTGTGCCATACCTGATAAATAAATATTTGCAATCTACAAATGGAATGTGTTTACTATTGTAAAATGCACATAATGCACATTATAGCTATTAGCTGGCATTATACTGCAAACATGTGATTTCCTAATCATATGTTAAATAACATATTCATGTTCATATGCCATTCCCATGCGTCAACCTGAGGTTGGATGTCTAGACCAAGGCAAGGCCACAACGGCAATGGCTCGCTGGCCACTCCTCAGTGTATTTGCACCGATCTCTTTTTTTCACCACTCTCACGAACAAATAGAGTTCATCACTGTTTCATATTTGAGGACATAAGGTTGCTATTAGTAGGAACGTTTGATCACAGACGTGGTGCTCACAGTGCATTGCCTTTGTAAAAGTCTTTACTGTCACTTTTTATCAATTGACTGCACTCTGAAGCATTGAAAAAATTAAGTTTTGCACAGTAGTGCACATGAACAAAACTTCATAGCACTTTTTCAACAAATCTTATATCAACATGCAAAAACACACTGGCTTAGTAAGATAAGAGCCTCCACAACCTGCTGAAATCCCATCACAAGTGATCACAAGAGATGGGAGCAGGTCTAAAGGATAACTTGTGATTGGATTACCAAAGGCTGATGTTAATACCAGGAATAAACGGGGCAAAAACCAATCCTTCAGACAGAGCAAAGAGCTTCATCTGTGGTTTATAGCGATGACGAGATGATCATACCTTCCAGTTGGCCAACTGCTGCGACTCGATGATCTTGATAAACGCTCCCATCAGAATCCCTGCAAAACAAAAGCCAAATACAAACTACCGTCAAACTTAAACAAAAGAAATTAGCTGCTATATGAATTATTAACAAAAGAAAAAGCAAAATGAACCAGGAGGAACAACATTTTGTTGTTTGTGACAATGCTAGCCAAACATACAGTTGTGCTCATAAGTTTACACACCCTTTGCAGAATATGCAAAATGTTGATAATTTTGACAGAATAAGAGGGATCATGAAAATTGCATGTTATTTTTTTATATAGTACGGTCTTGAATAAGCTATTTCACATAACAGATATTTTTATATATACTCCACGCGTAGGGCTGGACGATATGGCCAAAATTGATATCACGATATATTTCTTAATTTCGGTCGATACGATATAATTCCGATATCGATATGAACACTATTTATCTGAATTCGAAATCTTTTGTAACATTATAAATGCCTTTATCATCACTTTTGATCAATTTTAGCATCCTTGCTAAATAAAAGTATTAATTTCTATAATTTCTTTCCTAAAAAATTTATAAAAATGATACTGAATGGAATAGTGTATAATGTTACAAAAGTTTTTTTATTTCAGATAAATGCTGATCTTTGGATCTTTCTATTCATCAAAGAATCCTGAAAAAAAAAAATTACTCAATGGTTTTAAATATTGATAATCAGCAAATCAGCATATTAGAATGATTTCTGAAGATCATGTGACACTGAAGACTGGAGAAATGATGCTGAAAATTTACCCATGTATGATCACAGGAATAAATTACATTTTAAAATCTATTAAAATATAAAGCAATTTTAAATAGTAAAAATATTTCAACATTTTACTGTTTTTGCTGTACTTTGGATCAAATAAATGCAGCCTTGGTGAGCAGAAGAGAATTCTTTAAAAAAATATATATATATATATAACAACAACAAAAACTGGAAATGTTGCTGGAGACCAAGGTTATTATAGTTTTGCATTTTTAAATTCGTTTTATTTTAATATCGTTTTCAAATTTGCAATAAAATTTAGTTTCGTTTTTATTAGTTTCATTAATAATTTTGTTAGTTTTAGTTTAGTTTTTATTTTGTGAACACATTTCTATTTAGTTTTTATATAGTTTAGTTT